CGTAGGTGTCAAGGCTGACAAGCACCAGAACAAGCAGGCTGTGAAGAAGCACTGTGACATGCAGGTGGTCAAGTCCATGCCCTGATCAGGCCTGGCAGAGAGAAGGAGCCTATGGTCCACGGGCTCCTGACTGTCATGCTTTGAATATTGCTAACAAAATTAGGACCATATAAATGGAGTCCAGTTGGATAATTCTAAATATACATTTCTTCACTGTGTTAAAAAAAAAGGAGAAGGTGTGAGATACCCAGGAAACACAAAATGACAGGCTCAGAGCAGTTAATTATCAACTCCCGAAATGCTCTGAAAGCCAGAGAGGCTATAGGGCAAGTTTAAAGGAGAGCATTCTTTCCTGCAGTCATAGGGTAAAGTCTTAAAATCAAACCCAAGCTCTGATCACAGTGGGGTGGGACAGCAAAGGAGACTAAATGCATGGCCCTCGCAAGCTGCCATGTCATAGTCAGAGCCCTAGGGGTAGGGAAGGCGTGGGACCCTTCAAGCTGGGATTGGAATATCTTGGTGGATGAACATCTTGCCTTCGAAACCCCTGAACTCTCCTGCTCTACCCGGACCCCTTTATTCATGACTTCCTCTCCTTATGACCTGGCCTGCCCACTTATCCCCTCTATCATTGCCCAGAGTCGTGTTGCAGGACAGCCTATATAGGGGAGCAAAAGTCCTGCTGCAGAGAGGAAAGACACAAGTGCCAAAGGTATGGGGGCCTTGGAAGTGAGCGCTGGCAGGAGCTGTGGACAGGTGTGGGAGGGCCCCTGAGGATGTTACGTAGTGAGCAGGGAGTGCAGTGGGGCAGAAAGCTCAGCTTGGAGGACTCACTGATTGGGGAGTACTCATGCAGAATTCAGGGTTTAATGTGTTAGCAAGAATGCCCAGGGCTCGTTCTAAATGTTGGCCAACATGGTAGTTTGAATCCTGGTCTTAACAATGGCCACAAGCAAGGTAGAGGAGCCAGACTTTTTGCATCGGGTTGAAAAACTCCAGAAGACTTGATCTGAAATATTAAAAGGGTTTATTCTGTAGGGTTCTAGAACCCACTAACTAGTTCCTTGAACCTTCCCAGGACACTGCCTTCACTAAGGCAAGAAAGAACGCATTTAGGAGGAGGCTTTCTGAGGACTTTACAATGACCATCCTGGTAGCCCAGAGTCGAAGGTGGGGGAGGGTGCTAAA